AGCGCGTGTTGGAACTTCATGTACATAAACAATGTATTTTACACGTGTTGCATACGTCGCTATGAGCCCCATATGAAACAGGATGCGGCGCAACGACTGCGGCCTTTTTAATTAAGGCAGTTTGATCCAAATTCAAAGTTTGCATTTACTGTACATATCCGATATTGAACTCTATGGAATGATATGCTGCCATATATGATATTAGTCCATATGGGAAAGACACATTGCTAATATTACTGTGTAAATTTGTAAATTATTATTGATCTTGTATGACGGTTGATTCGTAATTTGTCGAGACCGGAAATCATTTTACGCAGTTTAACCCTTGACACATTAATTCATTTTGAGTTCACGCGTACCGGGCGTGTTTGTCGGCGGGAAAATCCCAATTCAAATAATTCCTTACTGTCGATTTTTATTATTTCTGGTTTATTTGTCACATTATAAGCAATACATTATTTTTGTTTTACTTCCAGTGTTGCATATTATTCATTTATTTCCGTTGCATGTTTTCATTTGCCGTTCTATTCCTGCCGCAGTTCGATCTGCGTGTTGTCTATTTTTGCGAATTTTCGTTTTTTTTGCCGGGGATCTCCTGGCAAACGCCCACCCCTTCTTTTTGGCAATTTTCCATGTTCAAGACCCTGGGCTTATACCCGGATAAATACGGTATATGAAAAGTAAAAAAAAAACACCCTTTATGAATAGCTATCATGTTGCAAGCTCTGCTTTGTATGCAAATCAACTTAAATAGTTAGTTGGTGTCCAGTGGAGGGAGAAGTCAACAGTACTGTTGTCTCCTGAGAATCTACATCTTCAAACACTGCAATCTTTGAAGTGCGTTTTTAAACTAGTATTATAAAAACTCTATCATTCTGTTCTAATAGCTGAAACATATTCCTGTGAGTTTTCATTTGTCGAATGAACTGTTTGTCAAATACAGAATACATATATTTTAGAATAATTTTCTTTTTAAAATGTGGATGAAATGTTTTGCTTTTAATGTATTTTTTATGTATTGTTTTTGATTTGATAACTTTGAACTAAACAGATTTTCTTTAGCTTCAGATCTTGATCAAAGTTAGGCACCCAGTTCATAGGAGTGCTTATATTGATTTTCTGACACCTTGTTTTCTGTAAAGATTGTATTGTGCAATCTCTCCATGAGTTGGTTTTGAAACCCAGTATGGGATTCCGAGATACATTACCAAGGATATTATTACAAGATAAATCATTTGCTTCATTGAACGCATACAACAATGCATATTTCCACTGAGAAAGGTGACCTTTGATGTGTATCACCAGTGATCAGTCAAGTAGAAACAGTCAAAATATTTTATCAGATTTTCTCAATTTTTGCATGATATTTTCATACAGGACATCTGTTGTTCAAACTCAGGGAAGACTTTATACTGATGAATAAGGTGACCAACATTGATAAAGTTTGGAATAGAATTAGTAAAGTTATTATGCACACAATAACAATTATTAATGACGACGACGACAACGGACAAAATTTTTCCCTTAATATACCTTTCCCTTCCATCTTTGATGGTACAGGCAAGGTAATAAAATTGTTCTGTGATTTTCAGATTTAAAATGTACTAGATGAAATAAACACATCTATGACTGAAGCTTAAAACAAATGTTTTATTCTAAATACACTAGGTTAAGCTGTTTTGTTGTTCAAGAAATCTTTAAATACATTAAAATAAATACTTTAAGTATATATGACAAGATAAAAAAAGAAAAAAAACAAAAATGCTTGAATTGCATCATAAAACAGAATGTACAGTGCCAGTATGAAAGCAACATTACCACCGTTATTGCATTGCATTTAAAATAATTAAAATCTACAAAAATTACCATGGAAACTGCAAAAATTTATCTGATCAGTTATTACCCATGGAGATTGTATGCCTGAAACAAGAAATGGCTTCATTAACAAAATTTCCCGACACTTATCAAAAGCCAAGCCCAAATACCGCCTACAGTAGAAAATGTACTTTTTAGAAATTTAGAGTAATGTTAAAGATGTATATTACTTTATTCATAGTTTTAAGTTTGTATGCACAGATGCAGAACATCTCCCACTGTTTGTCATCACCTTGAGAAATGTTAAAATTAGATTGTTTGGCAACAAATCCTGAAATTACTGGAGCAGTGAAGGTAGTCTGCACTGCAACGAAAGATTAGGACATTGAGTATAATCTCCAAATTAAACATATTCATTTCAAGAAAATCAACTGAACATATGATATAATAATTCTTTATAATGTATTAATGAATTCATAATTCAGATAAATAAATTTGGACATACTCTTATAGTTCTATTATATATTCTGTAAAGATACAGTTAATGTTTTGAACGTTAAACGTCATAATTTTCACCAAAATGGTGGTGCAGCATTTTTTTTTCAACAGTTTCTTTGTTAATTTTGAACAAAATGGACATTACACATTGGCTGTAGGTCTTGACGTTTTCTTTTCTAGTTGAAACTGCAGGCGTGCACATGGCAATTACAAAAAACACAAATGTTTATTTTAAATTAATATTTTGGATATCTTTTCTCAAATCAAATGTGTGTTTTTAACGAGATGCTGAGTTACAAAAATCACCACACCCACTATTTCTAAAATCACACCCACTTTTGCGAAACCATGCCCAAAATGTAACTATGTTCAAATAACAGAACATCAAGTTACGAGCAACATCAATTTTTGTTTTTGTTGCACTCCGCATTTAGTAGTCAAACTTTTTTTAACAGTTAACCGAACATTGAGTTATGGGCAACATATCAATTTTTGTTTTGTTTAACATTCAAATTTAGTAACTCATTATCAGTTAACCAAACTTAGACTGGCAGGAAATATACAAAGTTAAACAAAACAAGCGTTCTATGATGCCCGTAACTCAAAGTTCTGTTAACTGAGTTATAATTTGGACGTGGTTTCACAAAAATGGGCGTGGTTTTTGAAATATGGGTGTGGTCATTTTTGTAACTCGATGTTTTCTTAACTTGAAGAGTTCAGTTCTCGTTTTTAATGTACATTCCCCCCTGAGATTCTTCTCACAAAAATCTCTTAAGGTTTCTAATGGTAAAACCCTTACCCTGTACAAATTCATTACATGATGTAAACTCAAAATGTGGTTTTAGTGAAAATAGTTATTTGAACTTTTTCACAGAACAGATATAGAATTTGTTTGTAAGCTTACAATGTCGAATTCTGCTCCAAAACAAAAGTGTTACCATGAGTTACTATCAACACAAAGGCAGTCAGTACACAAGACCACAGTCATTAATAATGCAATTCAACAAAGAAATTATAAAACTGTACATAAATTAAAATGTGTGTGTTATCATATACCAACAAATATTTTTTTTTTAAAGGAAGTAAATGATAAAAGATGGGAAGAATAATATCTGGAGAAATTTTTAGATCAGTCTGGTTAAAAATCAAATTAATCTTTTTAATTATTTTACAAGGCAATAAAGTGTTTACAAATAGGCACTTTGCATAACACAGTAATTTGAATAATTTATTGTCATTCAAATGTGTGAACAATTTACATATTGAAACATGTATGAAATCTCCCCCCCCCCCCCCACTGGTTAAAATTTGTGGTCAGCCCTGTTAAAACTATTTTTTCAAGATGAAGACATATGCTCCCTCCTACTGCTTTTGTCGCTTCTTTTATCCTTCCAGCTTGGACATCAGCACAATTCTTATAAAGCTTGGACAACTTGTTTTGAGTTTTCAGAAAGGGTTAGATGGACTTTACTTGAAACGTTGACAAACATGCAGATTCATAAATACCTGAATGAACTTTGTTTTAAAACTTTTTTTAGACATTAATCTTTACAGAAATAAAATTTTGAAGTTTTAACTCCGGAACAGTTAAGCTTTCAATATCAACAATGACTATCTTTTGTCATTTTAAATACAGTTCATAACTATAAAAAAAAAAAAAGTATAAATATATAATTTACTGATATTTGAATATTTACAAATAAATTAGTATTGAATCCTGAAAAGATAAAAGCAGCTAATGAAACCAAATATTGCCGAACATAGAATGTACATTACAGTGGACCCTGTCAACTGTACAACAGAACCAAATAAAAACGCTGCTGCAGTCTCTGATAAAAAGTATGCACTATCCAGAAGTGCTACGTCCACTCCTTTGCCATGGAGACTCGTATCTTCTGTACTTAGATCAGGGTAATATTTCTGTAAACAATACAAATATGAAAATATCAATAAGTGGGAAAACATAAGGATGAATATTATGACAAAAGATGCCATGAACACGTCAGTGGAAAAATGTTTTATTATGCAGGATTTAAGTGTTTTATCATATTCAAATATTCCATTTTTAAATTACCATATTTGCTCTGTTAAAAGTGCACATAAACCAAAAATTACATTTATTGTGTACAAACTGATCATTAAATTATTGTTTACTTTTACTAGCAGCTGGGAACATTTTCCGGAAGTTTGTTATTGGTCTGAACACGTTTAAACATGATATGTAGCTATGAAACGACCCAAATACAACAATTTTATGATCAGACTTGCAATAAACATTGATGAAAGTCTTTTAAAATTATTTATATTTGGTGAACTGATTACTTTATTACAAAGTACCATTCAATATACGTGTAAAAAAAATTGGGTTTCTTCCGATTATGGGATTAACTCTATGGAGAGAAAGTAAAACACAAAAATAGTTATTTGATTACGAAATATTTTTCATTTTTTCCCCAAATAATGAAACAATGGGTCAGGAACTATATTTAAAAAAAATAGAAGAAGTGGGTAAAGCCTATTTGCAAATAACTTTAATAGTTTGTACTATAATGCTAATACGTACATGGGCAATAGCACACGTTTTCACATGAAAAATTCTTCGCTTTCACGTCAAACCTGAAACTGTTCATTAAACTGTATTGTAACTATTTTCCAGTACCAAATAGTAAATCTGTTTTATTTATCATTCACAGAAAATGCATACTGAATATTAATATTTCATTGGCAGCTGTGACTGACACATATTAGGAATCAATCAATTTAAAGTACATGTATTTTAAACACATTCCCCACACAGTTGGGCAGTATAATATCATATTATTGGCTTAACATCAAACATGTGGATTGATCTACTAATACAAGCCAGAATTGGCCACTGGATGGTTTTCCTATCTATATCTATCACACAACAGTCTACTGTAACAATATCACTATTGTACTGCAAGAAAGAACAATGAAAATTAAACAAAACAAAAATGTATATTTGCAACAGATTGCTAACACTGAGACTATAAATCATGAAAAATGAAATGGCAGTGTAACAATGGAAAACCGTATAATAAACTAATTAGCCATCTGTTACAGACCTGGATATAGAAAAAATACAATTAATCAACACATGCAACTAAGGGTTTCCAATTTGAACACATTTTTTTTGTTTAACTCTGGTTCCCCTCCCATAAACTTTATATATTAATAAAATGCAAATTAATGGACAGCTTCCTCTACGTATATAATGCTACATTTCAGCTACCAGTATCAATTATTTGACTTGAAATTTGACAGATTTTACTATATTGTCGATTTTAACTATTACCAGTAAAATGTACATTTCATCAAAATGTTCAAGTAGTATTTTTTTTATGTTCGTGCATATTGCTGTATATTTTCTTTTTGTGAGTTTTCAAAATTTCACCCCCCAACTTTTTCTGAAATTATTACTGGAATGCAACATATTTGTAATGCAACAATTTGCACAGATTTTTGAAAATATTTAATAAACGTTCAAATTTCAATGCTTTTAGCAAATTAGAGGGCTGTTCATTTTGGCGTCCCATTTGATCAAGTGTTCAAATTTCTATGCCACCAGTAATTGAAACAATTAAGACAAGGTCCTGGCAAACACTGAAAAACAAACACAGTCACTTATAGAAATAAATTAGTGGTACGTATAGAGTCATGCATGTTCATTAATACCTGAATATTCCCATGGTAGGAGCTGAGGACAGTGTACGGCAGAGCGGTTATCGTAGCATACGAGCATCCAGTAATGGCAGACAACCAAAGTATTGTGCCAACATTTTTTGTGAAAACCATCATGGACGTAGCAATTGTAAATGTCACCATACCAAATATGTATGTCCTTTTTGTTCCAATAACATTCACTAATGATTCTAAGCAGACTGCGTAAATGGATGATGTTAGACCGTGAAGCAGTAATCCCCAGCTTCCCATACGTACACCTATAGTAACAGAGAAAATGAGATCATTAGTTGCATAGAAATAAGACATAAATGGTTTACATGACGCCATGTAGTACAATCTCCACGCTAACAACAAGAAAATTTGTCATTAGTAGGACAGAAACAAATTTATCACACATTAAAAACAAAACAATTAGTCACCAACTATAACTACATGGTAACCTTTGTATAAACATTTTTATATTGGTAATTGGAATAAATTGAATAAAATAATTGTTGGGCTTAAGTTCATAGTAACTTTTCAAATGACAAAATTAAAATGGCTAATAATCACAACGCTCTACATTATCCTTTTCACCACCACTTTCCCGCCCAAGTTTTTCTGCAATATTTCTAGAAATGAACCCTAATTTGGAGCCAACAGACAAAATGTGAGTGAAATTTTCAGTTTTTACTCAAAAAATTTGGCTCTATAAACAGATTATGTAACGAGTTAATCAAAACACTTCCCAGAAAGCCGCATAAAAACATAAATATATTTTTTTTTGAAATATTCATTTGCTGAAATATGTATCATGGCGAGCAGTCTCAGAAAATCTACCATGTTGATTCATGCAAAATGTTTTAGAATACAAATATTAATTTCAGACGGTGACGTGAAAGTTACAGCGTCTCATTTTTATTACGTCTGTAAAGTACTTGCAAGTATTGAAATAAAGACAGAATGCAAAGCAGGATTAAATCAATCAAAGCTTTTTTTTTGTTGAATGGTATTTAACCAACTTGACTGTAAGCTGACTTTGCAGGTGAAAAAAGATAAAAAGTACCCAGATGTAATGGACCATGAAATGAACACTGATAGCGAACACCTCATTGTAAGTAAAACGTGCTGATTTCATTAAAAACTACTTAAAAGCAAGAAAATTCATAGACTCTGCTTGCTGGAAACTTGTCTCCCAATCTTCTAAAGGAAAGTGCAGACTATAAACGGGGAAAAGATTAAAAAAAGAAAGAAAGACTGACGTCCACATAATTCCATGCACTTCACTTCACATGAACTTTTGGTAATGCGATCAAAGAATGGTACTGTACATAATATCTTTTCTGTACACATTAAATACATGTATTGATTGAGACATCTTTAAATATTAAAGTCATAATGAAAATTGGGACAAAAAAAAAAACGTTCAAACAAAATGACTATCTATAGACAACATGTGAAAGCAATTGTTAATCTCCAGTACCGGTAATACTATTACATAATGCTTGACGAGGTGAAAAAACATTGGAAGACATGCACGATGAATATTTAATGCACTGATAAAAATTTATCCAAACTACAAATATGCCATTTAATATTTTCATCAAATATTGAAGTATTCAGAATTTGCACAGCTGGCTCATAGTACAAAACAGGATAGAAATTAAAAAATTTATTAAAATATTTTTTTTTAAATTTTGAATTTTGTAATATTTTGTAATATGAGAGTAACTTTTTCTTTTTTTTTCAAACTGAATTTGATGAATTTGAACTAAATTGAAATAAATTCATAGATCAAAATAAGAATTATAAAAATAAACCCTTTTCTGGAGAAGCTAGCCAAGTTTGTTCCTGAATTTGTTGCCATCTTGGATCTCCAAATGATTCATCCTAATTCATCCTACTTACCAGAGTCGTAAATATATTGTAAATGTGTTCCCTCTGCAACATCAGGATGTCCACCATAAATAGCAGCACCAACAAAATCAGTGAAAAATATTTTGAATCCCATCACAGCGGTGCAAGTGGTAAAATGGGCAATCCATAATTTGGTTAACACAGAAGGCATTGTGACAATACTACTGTACAAACTGAACACATTGTCACATAAAAAACCAGGAATAAATCGATGCAAGATTTCAATGCAGAACTTGTACTGTGTCACTTTAGTCCTTGTTTTGACTAAATTGTGAATAGGATTCCTTCCCTGCAGTTCTGAGCCGTCTGATATCAAAACACTGAACACCGCATCCCCATTCATTACAGAGTCCTTCTGTTTCTCAGCAGGGGAATCCATCTGCAGCATTCCATTGGTTTTCAGAGAAGACAACGAAGGTTTCCGTGATACAGGGGTGTCCCTTGCTAAGGACAAGGACAGAACAGCTGAGGTTGTAAATGTAATTAACAATATAGCAAACACAGCATGTTCCTGTCTATCAAAATATTGTCTGAATGCCGTCCTCTCCCAATCAATGGAAGTTAGCCAGTAGCCAAAGCAGCCACCTACACTTGTCATAAAAGAAAACACCATAAAGCTTCTGTTATGCTGATGAGAATTTTTACAAGAGTCTGACAACAAAGCTTCAAAGGGTGTGTAACATGCCTGAGTGCAAAAATCTAAAATAATCACAGCAATTGCTAGATTGATCATGCCGATATTGTGTCCATTAGCAATTAACACCAATGTTAAAATAGTCCCTAACGATAAGTAAAAAATGAAAGGTCGTCTTCTTCCATATTGACTCGTACATCTATCACTGAGAACACCCAGGAACGGCACAACAAAGAGAGCGAAGACGGGTCCAAGTCCCATTACAAAACTCATTGCGAATTCCGAGAACCCCGCTTTCAGCAACATCGGTGGAACATAACTGAAAGCTGCTGAAGTACATAGCTCTAGACCACATGTTATGGCATTCAATGATAACAAATAAGAAAAACTGAATTGTTTTCCCAGCGATGGCGATGGCGATGTGGAGATGCTGACCGAGTCTGTTGGTGAGGACGACATGGTGATTATGACAGCTACTAACACTACATGGATGAACACTGATAGCATTTAGTGAGCAGACAGCATGATGATGGAAGTGTGAGTGTCAAATATAGACCAATCTGTACCAAACCAGCTGTGTTATGCTAATCAGGGATTAGCCTCCCAATCTGGAAATGATGAAAAGAATTTCATGACAGTGATACATTGAAATGTGTAAACACAACAAATTGTATTTATTTCATTTTTTTCAAATCTTTGTGAAAATTGCATATATATTATAGCCATTAGAATTCAAACAGCTGATAATAGCACGAGAATGAAGAGACTTACACAATGTACACAGTAAATAATATGCAACTGAAAGAAATGTAATACCACAACACATTTCGAAAAATGTTTTAAAATGCAAGGGTTAAAAAAAATGATTGGATCCCAGAAAAGTGAAATAAAGTCATGCCGTTTCACGATCGGCATTACATGCAATTCTCACCATATGGTTTCTCAGTTATAAGTTATGGCCCTGGTGGCATAAGGTGAAATGAGTGGATGTTTTCGGATTACATGTATTAAATCCATTTGGAAATCTCGTGTGCAGACATGCAAGTTTAAATTAGACATGTGTGTACTTATAAATATGAAAATCTAATATTATCAATAATATTGATTAAATAATTATCCTGAATTTTTCATAATTAAAAATAGTTAATGTAAGATATTGAAATTAAGGTGCCGCAACATGATGGGGTTAACCTTTTCACCACCAGTTTCCTCTTTTCAACACAAAATAGTCATGTTTATAATCTGCACTTTCCTTAAGAAGACTGGGACAAAAATAGCTAAATTTTATGAGTAAAAACAGAAAATAGACTCAAATTTTGTCTGTTGGTTCCAAAATTTAGGCGACAAAGTCTGGTGGTGCTGCTATATAGTTTATAAAAACAGTAGACTTCAGAAAAGTCGGTAATAGTCAAAACCATGCAACTGCTGTGACATTTTTGGTTTGTGTTGTTGAATAAATAGAAAGTAGAAAACACGCATAGACCATGTTATTGAATTCATTGACAATTCAAAGAGCAATATGTCAAATATACTTAACAATTACTCCAATATCGTATTTGCTCTATTCTACCATGAACTGATGTAAATTAGAGATTTTTTCTATGATGGAAATAAGTAATGTTAAATTGTTTTAATGATTTAGTATACAGCCAGTGTAATTTGGGTTATATATGCACGTCCACTAGAGTTGTGCTTCTAAAACAAATATGGTATGTAGGGCTATTAAGATTGTATTACATGCTTAAGATGCCATTAAAAGAAATACAGCCTGATAATCACTGCATTCTGTTTCTATTGGTTACGCGTTACTACTGCTTTTTACACTAATAACTAAACTTTTTCAGGTGATATCTGGAATAATAATGAAATTCATGCTGATATGGTCCAGAATTAACCTCAAGGCTCCAGTATGTCAGTTATTATGGTAGCCTTCTGGTGACTATGAAGTTAATTAATGTTACGAAGTAATTCTGCAATGTGAACCAAAAAAGATAAGGTTACGGGTAAAATGATAAAGTTATGAATTTTCTCTGAGCATTTCCTAAAATCTTTATGAGCTCACACTGTGGGTTTATAGGACAGAATACATAGAAAAAACTATTCATATTCATAATGCATTTAATTTTTATTTAATAGTGCTATACATGATCATCTGCAACACCCAACCCCATTATAGTTTTTATTACGTACACAATTTTAAAATAAAGGATCTGAATTGAAGATTTCCTGTCATGTTTGGCATACTTTTATTATTATTTTATTATTAACTACTTTAACCGAAGAGATATTGCACTGAAAAAACCACCAGCTGCCCCAAAATAATCACTCAATTTTACATTTCTTGTATTTTTTATTTTTTTTTCAGTTTTACTTATTGATCTAATTTTCTAATTGTTTACTTTAGTTTGTTACTTTTTTAGCTAGCTGTTGTTTATTTAAACAACATTCTTTATTGTATTATTTTCAAGATCCCAATAAGGATACGAAATCAATAAAGTTATTTACTTTACTTTACTATTATAAGCTTATACATCAGAATACTGAAAATGAAAAAAAGGGGGTCACTGGATGATCTTTTGAGATACAAGAGACCAAAATATCGTGGAAAATCATCAAAATTATCATTTTTACACTTGTTATTATGGTGTGATTATTTATTCATATCTCAAAATTTTGCTCGGTAATCGAGATGAAAAAGTTGTATATTATTATTGATATGAAATCTAACATATCCCATAATGCATTGCATACATGTACAGTTACATGCTCAGTAGTGCAAAATTTCTATCAACTATTGTAAATTTATTATTTCCCCAAATTAAATTGATACCACTGGGATTGATGCACAGAGATGTTTGTTTTATCATAGACCTTAGGAAACATGTTTTCTAAGGTCTATGGTTTTATATAATTGATGAGGGCATAAAATTTATTTTTAATTTTGTCATAAAAATTGCACCTTTTATTTATATTTTTCATGAATACTGATATTTAATTCTGGGTTTGTGAATAGATAGGTAGGACATTACAAAAATATGCAAGACTAATATTACAGAACTAATATTAATCCCAATTATATTCTTAGATCAAACATGAAGCAAACCGACTTTTAGAAGATCATACTAATACACAAAAATTATGGACATGTTCAAGAATAAAGGTCTTTCACCTATGTGATTCCAAAAGTTATTGGTGGTCAGATATAGCAGCCATTATGAAGGCCAAACTCTAGATTTCCCATAGGCATAACATGTGAAACATCTTGCACTTTGAGACCTTGTTGTGACATAATGTGAAAGAAATATATATACATATCATGCAAAAGGAAATGCCCTGTGTGTGACCTAGACGAAATTGAAGATGAAAAACATTTTCTGCTTAACTGCAAATTATATGAAAATGAAAGAAACCAACTAAACACTAAGTCAAAAATGTCACTCCCAAACACGACAGATGAAGAAAAAATGATAGCTATGATGAACAACAATGAAAATAAAACAATTATAAAACTAGCTAAATACATTTACGAATGTTTCAAAATTAGAGAAAATAACATGAAAAAGCCTTCATTCTCATCCAAATAAACAACAATATTAATATCAAGACATATCTGCAAGGTTTTTTTTTTCTGTTATCATTTTTATGATATTTTATCTTATTGTCTTTCTTGTTTTTTTTTTCATCCACACTTTATTGTAATTTAACTCAAGATCCTATAAAGGATACGATATCAATAAAGTTTATTATTATTATTATTATTATTACAGTCACGATTTTCATTTTCATTTCCGTGTTCATTAATTAATTATATGCAAGAATTAAGTCTAGTTAATTATGCCCTTATCATTATTAAAATGTACTGGTAGTAAAAGTAGTTCGAGCTGAATTATACCACAGCTATGTGAGATGTTCTCACTTGTACAGGTAGCCAGTGATTTAGGAAATGTTTTATTTTAGAAAATAATCACTCCGTTCAAATAATTTCTACAAAGCATGTTTACTAAATGGGAGCGTCGTCAGTGTATTTAACGTAATCTCACATAATCCCCACAGACTCAAAGTAACGCGTTGACACTATATAAAGGCATTCACAAATATTATACCTTCTCTTAAAAATCAAACGAGAACAAATATTGGGATTTAATACCCACCCAGCAACCATTTTGCTCCCCTTAAACACGTCACTAGCGCCGGCGAACCGTGGAATGGAATGTAGAAACTGTTCGAATGCAGACTTGAACCAACGATTTTTCGTATGCAGCTATATAACTCGTATCACAAAATTAATGACTAAACTAAAGAAGAACAGAATAATAAAACGAACAAAAAGAAAAAAACGGCCACGGTTCCATACCACATACCCAGGAAACTACTCGACACAACGTTGCCGATGAAATACGTACACACTGTACCGCAACGTCAACTGACGTCAACACCCTTATTAAGACTACTTAAGTTGGTCAACAATAATCATTGTATCATATTGAATCATTTCATAATAATTATTTCTGGACGAGTTATTACCACAGATAAATTGAAGGTTTTAAAAATAATATTATCTGATCGTAGATACACAATAAAAAAATGCCTAATATGCTACGTCTCCACTAAAATATAAATTCATTACTTAAGGAGACTGCTTTGAGGAAATCCCTGGAAGACACTATTAAGTAAACAGGGGTCGAAAATAAAATATGAAGAGAAATAGATGGATAATAAAAAGAAAATAATATATGATATATATGTATTGTTAATTAAATTCATTATCTTACTATTAAAAGATATGCTTATATACTAAGGCATCGAATATATGTTTCTATAATATGTAGGTATTGCCCCTCTATCAATACCCTAATGGTTTTGTCCACAATGTTCAATAATGGCGACTGTCAGAGCCTGACCGCGGTGAGTTCATTACAATGCAAAATATTTTTCCTGGTCGATATTGTGGTTATTTAGTGTAGAATACGTTGCCCATGGTAAACTCGAATCCACACATATGGTTTTTCAGTCGCTGCTTCCTCCGAATATTAAGTCACGTTAAACATTTTCAACATGCCACGTCAACCAGATTACGATCATCATGGTGGCGTTGTCAATTCAATGAACGCCGTAATCAAAACAACTTTAACAACAACAACAACAACAACATGATGAATCTCGGTCACTGAGGGCGGAGCAGGATTTATTTCATAAACAGGGTCGGCCATTGTCTTCATAGTTCTGCAGTTCTACCAGCGATTGGTAGAGCATTGGCCGAGAGTCTGGTGTGTTGCTCAGGCTGTCTGTGTACAGTTGTAAGACAGTTGATAAGACATTATACAGTAGTGTCACAGTCCCGTGATAGAAGGACTGTGATAGTGTTCACGCTACAAAAAATACGGGCTGAGATTTAAGCTAATCTCATATGTTTGCATATCGGATAGACCCAATTGCGTTTACCCACTGGAGAAAACAGTGTTTAGCACGAGCCAAGGAATGCTCAAACTTATTAAGAATATACAAAATCTTCAGTCATTTGGTAGCAGATCATATGACCTCACGTATGCTAGGTTATTATCTCCCACCAATATGCTAATTTTACCCAAAGGAGTCTTATATTTGCTACCAAATACCCCAGCTTTCCATTTATAACCTCTAAATATTTGAAATGAATTATCTCACTGCTATTTTTAGATTTAAAATCTGAAAGTGATCTGCTCCAGCAATAGAAGATGGATCGAGCCACCAGAAAGGATTTATTGGAAACGATAGAGAAACAGAAAGATCAGATAGCTAGGTATGAGAAGAGATTAAGAGGTGAGTATTTATCTCACCATTGATGACTACTTACACATATGTTGCAACACTGTGCAGACAACTGTAGATGAAGGAATAGCAGCACCCATGATAGCAAAAATAAGAGCCGTTCGACAGCGACGTTGGGTAATAATTATTCGCTGCATCTTTCCTTGTCTTCTTTGAGCTTGTTGAACTCAACCAGATGATTTCTGCTTTATTTTTAAACTGCGTGAACCTGGAAATATTGTCGTTCACACGCTTGCCAGCTTGCATTTAAAATTCAGAAAATGTTCTGAGGTTCACATTGATTTATTGTTGTTTTTCTGGTTTTCATAGACTTTTAATAGCCATCTGAAGTTCAAATACATGTACTTTTTGTTTTAACAATTTGACCTTGATTTGACTGGGATTGAATATTTTATTTTTAACAATATTCTGACGTGACATACTGCCACAAAAATGTATTTTAACACAAACTTGGTATATTATATACATTGGTGTAATTTTCGATTTTTGAGTCTCCACGATTTGTATAATTATTGTTGTTTTCTTCAATGATAAGACATGTACCATAGAGCTAAATAAAGATTACCATGCATGGACTCACTGAGGGAAAAACAATATTCTAAGACTAAAATAAAACCACATCAATATTTGTCTTGTTTCTCTGCTAACAAGAGGTCGCAGTTTAAGTTGCGTTTACTAACGATACAACATGTCATAGATTTGAAGTGTCGTTCTAAATTTTATAATTATTAATACTATTTGTATCCTCAAACAATTAAAATCACCATTTCGACCACTTGTGTGGCATTGATCAGTGTTTGGGCGAGCAATCTGTGTTTTCAATAAACGAGTAAGCAAACAAAAGCAATTAAAATGTTGCTTTCCGGTCTGAAAATCTGGAAATTAAACGATAATCGGTTGAATACAAATCAATAAAAGTGAGAGGATGGGAGAAATGAGTGCAGTATGACACTATGAGTTTCCTGTCAGTATTCCATAACAGCTTTATTATTTACATTGAATCACTGTCTGTCTGTGATTGAAACTATCATTTGATTATTGCTACATGTGTACAACAGTCCGATTGGGTGCATGTTATTGTTATTTGACATTGTTGTAGATAGGTTTAGCTATAGCCATGTAAAAAACTGTTCACATAACTTGACAACAATTATGCATTTATGGCATCTCTTGTCCCCTTTGAGTACCATATATCTGCCTGCCACCTTATATCTTTCGTCATCACAAAAACTTAAATTGTAGCAATTTGACCTTAATTTAAATATATATCTCTATATGTGATGCCATGTAGGGCAGCTATAATATAGTGTGGATATTAAATTGTGATTTGATTTATGAAGTGGAATGTAGTCAATTTTAACTGTCTGATAATAACTGATATTAGAGCACATGCATAGTCCACACAGTGCATTCCAATAATTGCATATACGTCATAAGTTATATTATGAAGTATGTACATGGACCTAACTAGACCTTTGCCAACTGAGCTAATTTAATTTTTTACCAGTGTAACATGGTTATTAGGCCCCAGACAATATATCCAAGTATCATATTTGTTCTAGTAGCATGTTTGTTTTTATAAATGCAAGAATAGGCTGATTATGAGTTGGTACCAATTTTGTCAAATGAAAAAACTAAAATAAATTCTACCAATTGTTGCCTCTAAATACTAATTGCCTAGTTACAAGGCTATTCTATTTCAACATGGACACATTTGGAAGTGCTTGTTTGTAGTTTGATTGTATTTTTGTGAAATATTCACTGCTGCATGTTTCATACAGTTGATAATGTTATTTGCTAAAGTTGGTGATAATGTCATGTGACAGTTAATCAACCAAATGAGTCATCCCTGTATTAGAATTAAAGAGCCACATTAAAATAACTAAAAAACAATGTATTCTATGATATACTGTAAATCATACTCCAGACCAATTTTCACTTTTTTCTTATATTCTTCAATATTTCTGGAAATATATCCTAATTTTGGAGCCAACAGACAAAATTTTAGTCAATTTCATGTTTCTATTAAATATGTGGCATATTTGATTGAGAGCAAAGGGAATTATTTATTAATATTTGTGTATCTGTAATACAAGTATTATGTATGGTAATTTAATGCTTATGTTATCATGGTATTATGTATCCACTGTCACCTTTCATTTTTCAACATCTCTACTGAAACTGACACACTGGTATAATCACAAGAATGTCGCTTATACTTATGAGAGTTTGCAGCCAAGTAGAGCTAATATGAGTTTGCAGCCAAGTAGAGCTAATATGAGTTTGCAGCCAAGTAGAGCTAATATGAGTTTGCAGCCAAATAGAGCTAATATGAGTTTGCAGCCAAGTAGAGCTAATATGAGTTTGCAGCCAAGTAGAGCTAATATGAGTTTGCAGCCAAGTAGAGCTAATATGAGTTTGCAGCCAAGTAAAGCTAATATGAGTTTGCAGCCAAGTAGAGCTAATATGAGTTTGCAGCCAAGTAGAGCTAATATGAGTTTGCAGCCAAGTAGAGCTAATATGAGTTTGCAGCCAAGTAAAGCTAATATGAGTTTGCAGCCAAGTAGAGCTAATATGAGTTTGCAGCCAAGTAGAGCTAATATAGGTTTGCAGCCAAGTAGAGCTAATATGAGTTTGCAGCCAAGTAAAGCTAATATGAGTTTGCAGCCAAGTAGAGCTAATATGAGTTTGCAGCCAAGTAAAGCTAATATGA